GGACAGCAGCATTAGCCTGCTCTTTTTTGATTTGCAATAAACGAGGGATCTTTAACGTGCACAGCATGTAGCACACCTGGCCTCCGTTTATTGTTTCATAATGGGATTGGAAGGTTTTCTGAAAAAATNTCATGTGTATTGTCAATCAAACATCTGTGGTTCATGTAATTCCATTAAAACTAAGCATTTTATGAAGTCACTAATCACGAAGGGGCCTTATTTCGCAATAAGTGACTTTATCAAAAACTTAGTTTTAGAGGAATTGCAGGAATCACAGACGTCTGATTGAAGATTGGAATGGTGGAAGCTAATGATAATAGTGTCCTAAATACACATAATTTTTTTAGAAAACCTTGTTACCATCCGTTCAAGAATATTACTTACAGGTCCAGATTTTTTCCGATGACGTATACAAACTTTTATTGGATGTCCCTTACTTAGACCCTCTACAGCTGTCTTCATTTTGATATCTACATCATTGTCCATAATATCAGATTTTAATCGCACAGTTTTCATCTTCAAATCATCCATAGCTTCTTTCATTTCCTTTTTTTCTTTCTTAGCATCCATACTCATTTCAAAAAATTTTTTACCAGTGACATATTTAAACTCAACAAATTTTCTCTTGGGGTCAGATTCCATATCAAAGAGTTTCATATTTTCATTTAAGGCACGTTTTCTAGCTTCAACATAAGTTGTTTCACAAATAACATTGTTATCTGTATCAATCAATTTCACTGCTTGATTTGGTTTATAAAATTTCACTGAGTATGATTTCTGCCTTCTTTTATCTATTATAAAAGTTTTAGAAGTTGAGGAAAAATTTGTTATTTGGTTTGAAAGTAGCATTGGCACTTTGACATAAGGAATTTGTTTGAAACAGCCAAAAGTCCTGGATGTTGGTCTACATCGTGTTAATAAAGCTATTCTACTTAAAGAATACATTCTACAATCTTCAATTTGTCCACAACTGAAAGAAAGATAAATAAGCAAGGTAAAACATAACCAATCAACCAAGTATGAAATACTCAAGTCCAGTGGTGTATTTAGATGGTAATTTTTGGGTCATTTGAAAAAATAATTTAAAGAAGCATTTCACTTTTTTTGTAAAACATTTTCATTATCAAAAACGTTGTAAATTATACCTGAGAATATTTCTAAGTATGATAAGTATGAGATCTTGGACAAGTTCAAATTTGACGATCTTTCAATGAACGGTTTTTTAGTTATTGCCCTCAATAGAGACTACAGTCTTCATCCAATTTAAATGGAATTTGGTATGATCATTTTTAATGATGAGATCTTAGTCAAGATTGAATTTGACAATAGTTCTATCAACGGAATTTGAGTTATTGCCCTTGACTTAGTAAAAATGCATCAATATTTGTTGGCAATAGAGTTGACAGTTTATGTCAGAATTTTATTAAATAATGTGTGTTTGTTTAAATCAACAATATCTTGCACAAATTAGATTTTTGGAATGATTTGACACAGATAGGTGACTGCTCTTGATATACTGAAAATGTATGAGGAAAGTAGGCTTATCTTGTTTAAATTTCTGATACATAGCCAGGGAATGTCTACTTGGAAATTTTCAAAATGTTGAGAAAACTTGTAAAAAAAAAATTGTTAGTTTTCGTTTTTTTTTGTCATAGACTGTAAAACTTTAATTACTGAGACAGTGAAAAAAAAAAATACTTCTTTAGTACAGTGATGCCTCGTTTATTTATATATTTTTTGAAACAGAAAGCAGAAAACATGCCATGTATGTCATAATTACGGTTATTATTTCTTTCACATTTTGACACCTGTCACCAACGCATGATTAAACTTTTAAATTTAAAAACTCAGTTGTTTTTCGCTTTTATTTCATAACAAAGCATAAATATAACAATAAAATAAAACTTTTGACACCATTGTAGGGATTGTATGAGGGTTTCTAATAAAATTTTTAGAATATTTTTCACAGGCGGCCATATGTGATTCAAGCATATTAAGTGATTTGTGACATCATTAAACGCTTAGTTTTAGTGGAATTGCCGGGAAAAAAAAAGGAATTGCCGGAATCACAAATTGAAAATACCCATAAAAAATTTAGAAAACCTCTTTACAATCCTTTAATACTGCTGAACCAGAAGCAGGTTCTTAATACTCATAGTGACTACTGAGCAAGACTAGATGGTGAATAGTAATTACTATATAATTTAATAATTGGAGCAGATCACAGCAGTGAAAAAAACAACAAATAGTGTGTAGATAGCATATATCAGGGTTTCCAGATTGTAGTTGACCCGTTATACAAGGCTCCACTGTGCATGGTACAATTTTTGTAGAATTTTGTAGATTGTTAAATATCTCTCCTCTAATTCATTATTTTGAATTTAAATATTACCAATACATGACTTATCTGTCACTTACAATAATAAAAACCATAACCTACCATATCACTTACAAATTATTTATTGAAATATTGCTTAAAACCTCATCCCTGATAAAATTAAAAAATAAATAAACACACCCAATTTCAAAAGAAAAATATGAAAAATTAAATTTTTGGTTTTAAAATAAAACTTAAACATAATAGGATTGGATTAAAATTGGTTTTCTATGATCCATTTATTCTACCGTATCTCTTAGATTACAAACCACACCATATTACTGTATCTCTATACACTGAAAGTTTCCTTAATTACGTTTTCAAGAATAAGGCCCCTAGTGTGTTCTGCTGACTGTGCATGTAACAGATCCTGTGATAGATGGAAATTGTCATTGAAATTGTCATGTTGTTCTGTAACTAGATTTGGTTTCTCTTCATCATGAAGTTTCATGTGAGCATCAAGATAACTAGCACGAGAAAAGGATCTTTTACAAACAACACAACGGTATGGTTTCACTCCAGTATGTACTCTCATGTGAGCATCAAGATTAGTAACCCAAGTGAAATATTTTTCACAAACATCACACTGATAGGGTTTCTCTCCAGTATGAATTTTCATGTGAACATCAAGATAACTAGCACGGGAAAAGCATTTTTTGCATACATCACATTGATGAGGCTTCTCTCCAGTATGAATTTTCAGGTGAACTTTAAGATTACTAGACAAAGTAAAATATTTTTTACAAATATCACATTGGTAGGGTTTCTCTCCAGTATGAATTTTCTCATGAACTTTCAGATTACTTGTACAGGAAAAAGATTTTTTACACACATCACATTGATGAGGTTTTTCTCCAGAATGAATTCTCTTATGCACTTTGAGATTTTGTGGTTGAATAAAACACTTTTCACAAACTTCACATCTATAAGGTTTCTCTGAAATGCCGTTATGTAATTGCGTGTGGTATTTTGAACCATGAAGAGTTGCAAAATATTTATCACAAATATCACAATGATAAGGTTTCTCTCCAGTATGAATTCTCATGTGAAGATCAAGATTTCTGACTGTGCTGAAACATTTACTACAAGCACCACATTGATATGGTCTTTCTCCAGTATGAGTTTTCTTGTGAGCACTAAGTTGACCTGCCTGAGTAAAACACTTATTACAAACCTCACACTTGTAGGGTTTTCTTTTAGTATGAATTCTAACGTGAACATTTAGATAGCTGGTTGTGCTAAAACGTTTTTCACATACATCACATTGGTAACGTTTTTCTCCTGTATGTGTTCTCATGTGAGCATATAGTGTATTTGCTGCAGCAAAACTTCTTTTACAAACTTCACATTTGTGGGGTTTTTCTCCAGTATGAACTTTCATATGATCTTTAAGTTTACTGACATGAGCAAAACTCCTGTTACAAACATCACATTTGAAAGGTTTCTCTATAAAGTGATCTCTCATATGAACATCAAGTTCATGTGACTTAGAAATTTTTTTTTTACAGATATCACATTCTTGGATTTTTTCTCCAATAGTATGTATTTCCATATGGATGTTAAGATTACTTGGTTTGGTAAAACACATTTTACAAACTTCACATTTCAAAATCTTTGCAGTGTGAACTCCCATATGAACATTCAACTTTGATGCTGATGTAAACCATTTTTCACAAACCTGACATTGATGGGTTTTTGTCTTATTCAACATAGAAAACATGACTTTCAACATCCAACATACAACTCAAGGAAAAATCAATACAGGAAGTTCAATGTGATACGGACTGATTCTTTACTCCTGAATTAGTTTATGTTTATAATTTAGATGGAAATTACGGATTGAATAATACTTACAGAATAGACTGACTATGATGGAATCTTTTTAAGCAGCTCAATGCATGCATGTGTAAAAATAAAAGATAGTGGACCACAGCCATATACGCACTTCACAGCATGCTTATGGTAAAAACGAAACATCCATTTTAAGTTTCATCAAAATCGGTTGAAAACTAAGAGAGTAATAGCATATTCAAGATTTTGGGGCAAGGGCAATAACTCTGCTTCTAACAGTTGAAAATAGCTCAAATTCGAACTTCGTTTTATGAATATATATACACATACCGAATTTCATTTGATTCCTTCAAACACTCTAGTTTTTAGAGTGTTTACGAGCAATTGATGTTGATAGAAACTGACGTAAGAGGCCTAAATCTTGAAAAAGCCTTAAATTTTATCAGAAGTAAACTAAACTATCTCAAACCTTTCGATTTAGGTCCAATAACATCCATTTTAAGTTTCATAAAAATTGGTTGAAAACTAAGAGAGTAATAGCATATTCAAGATTTTGGGGCAAGGGCAATAACTTTGCTTCTAACGGTCGAAAATAGCTCAAATTCGAATTTGATCTTCGTTTTATGAATATGGATACACATACCGAATTTCATTTGATTCCATCAAAAAATGTAGTTTTTAGAGCATTTAAAAGCAAATGTTGCCGGACAGACGGACGGACGGACTGACGGACAGGGCTGCCGACAATATACGTCCACATAGAGAGATGTGGGCGTATAAAAGGTGTTCACAACTCACCGTCGAAATTTGAGCGTTTAAAATCCATGTGTGTCCACGTTCGAAAGTCAAAATGACTTTTCTTAAGACTAAAATCCATGTGTGTCCAGAATTACCCGCATCTGAAAGTTAAAATGACTTGTCTTTTCTTAAGACTCCTTTAATCAAACAAGTCATTTCACGCATTTAAAATGTTGCCAAAAAGAAAATATGCTAGAAAAATCACAACGAATACAATTACTATTAAACCGATACATACATAAATAAATTAAAGAATAATATACTGCAGTTTTTTTTCTTTGGAAAAATCAATCTCTAAAATAAAATTTGTCAACCACATTAGTTTGAAAATATTATTGCAGTGCGTTCTCCTTTTTTTTTTTGTCTACTTCTGGTCACGCTCCCCAGCCAAAACTGCACATGTCACACATTGTCTGACACTATTATTTCTTATACTTTACGTGTCGCTACTCTTTAAATGTAAAATGACGCATTTTCTTCCAACCGGAAATGACGTATGACGTTAACCATTCATTACGTATTTCGAAGTACTGCTCTAATTCTGCATCTATTTTGACCGTAACTTTGACATATCACTTCCGGTTTTGACGTCATTCGCCTCTAAACTTGAAATTTCAACTTCCGGAATTTTGTAGGTATTTGAAAAATTCTTTTTGAAATTAGTTAAAATTGTCCCTATAATAATTTTGGAATGAAAAAATTTGAACCGGAAGTAAAGTGTTAGACGCCATCTTGATGTGACCAATTTTTGTAAAAATCGATATTAAGCTTCAGTGTCTAAAGAATCTGCAATCAATTGCTAACAAAACCTAGGAAGCCGATTTTTGAATTTTGGATTCGTATTTTTTTTATTTCCGGTTTTATGTTTTCAGTAATTGTCAAAAATATTAAGGCTCATATCTAGTGACTTTGACCTTTGGTGACCTTGTGACCTGAACAAAAGTTGTTGCCCCATACGAGATATATCCGATGATATCCTCACTTTTGTTGTGCATCGTTAACTTCCGGTGCTACAGCAATTGGAAAATCACAATTTTTAACTTTGAAGAGCTCTGTCACGTGACCTAATTAACATAAGACAAAAATTCTTATATATTCTTTGAGTGCATAAAATCTCCTTTTTGGTGATATATCACACTTGATATTTTGATCAAAATTGCGCGTTTTAAAAATTGAAAATTTTGTACTGACTTCTATAGTAACTGTGCGTAAAATCACGGTGTCTATACTTTACCGACAGTCACCGTTGCCCTAAAAAAAAGTTTAACTACGAATATCTCATGATCTAATGATTGTAAAACTTGAAATTTCGAACATTATTTAACAATGTAAACATCATCACAGACAAATTAAAATTTTTGAAGTGGGCGTGGCACATTTGGTGTGCATTTGCCTTTACCTGAAATATTTGCAATTGTTATAACTCTCATAGTTTTCAATTGTCACCCTAGAAATTTTACATGAAAATAGATCACTGCTTAGGACAATTTGTGATAAGATTACAGTTGTTTGCGTTCTTTACTTTAAAAAAGGGAATAGGTTTAACAATTTTATAAATTTTCATTTTTGATCTTTAACATGAATGACCTTGACCTTTGCATGGTCAAAGGTCATTGACTAAGGATGACCATTCTTACTTTGATCTTTGATGTCCGATATATACTTCCGGTTTTGCAGACGTCCAAAACAACAATTTTCAAAACTTCAAAGGCTCATATTACTTTTATTTGACATTTGTTGACCTTTTGACCTGAACAAAAGTTGTTGCCCATTACGAGATATATCCGATAATATCTTCACTTTTGTTGTGCATTGTTAACTTTCGGTTCTACAGCAATTTGAAAATCGCGATTTTTGACTTTGAAGAGCTCTGTCACATGACCTAATTAACATATAACAAAATTTCTTATATATTCTTAGAGTGCATGATCTCTCCTTTTTGGCGATATATCACACTTGATATTTTGATCAAAATTGCGCGTTTTAAAAATTGAAAATTTTGTACTGACTTCTATAGTAACTGTGCGTAAAATCATGGTGTCTATAATTTACCGACAGTCACCGTTGCCCTAAAAAAAAGTTTAACTACGAATATCTCATGATCTAATGATTGTAAAGACTTGAAATTTTGAACATTATTTAACAATGTAAACATCATCACAGACAAATTAAAATTTTTGAAGTGGGCGTGGCACATCCGGTGGGCATTTACCTTTACCTGAAATATTTGCAATTGTCATAACTCGCAAAGTTTGCAATTGTCATCCTAGAAATTTTGCATGAAAGTAGATCACTGCTTAGGACAATTTGTGATATGATTACAGTTGTTTGTGTTCTTTACTTTAAAAAAGGGAATAGGTTTAACAATTTTAAAAATTTTCATTTTTGAACTTTAACGTAAATGACCTTGACCTTTGCATGGTCAAAGGTCATTGATCTAAGATGACCATTCTTACTTTGATTTTTGATGTGCAACATATACTTGCGGTTTTACAGACGTCCTAAAACAGCAATTTTTTTAACTTAAAAAAAGGTCTATCACGTGACCTAATTTACATAAGCGAAAATTTATCTTTTGTCCTTGTTACACGCAATCTATTCTTTCAAATGATATATAACACTTGATATTTTGATTAAAATTGAACTTGAAAATTTTGTATTGACTTCTATAGTAACTTTGTGTAATTTTAACGGTTTCTATAATCCACCGACAGTCACCGTTGCCTTAAAAAAACTGTTAACTACGAATATCTCATGATCTAATGATTGTAAACACTTGACAATTTGAACATTATTTGACATTATATACATTATTACAGACAACACAAAATTTTTGCAGTGAGCGTGGCAAATCCGGGTTACTTTTACCTTTTACCATAAATAATTCAAATTGTTATAACTCAAAAAGTTTGCATTTTTCACCATCGAATTTTTACAAAAAATTAAAGCACTATTTGGGACAATATCTGATAGAGTTACATTTTGTTTAGGCCTTTTACTTTAAAAAAGGGAATAGGATTTACAATTTATAAAATTTTGATATTTTGACCATTTATGGTCTTTAGAAGGTCAAAGGTTATTGATCTATTTTCGCTTTTACAAACGTCCCAAAACAGCAATTTTCAACACTTTTAAGGCTTATATTCTCTTTTATTTGACCTCTGTTGACCTCTTGGCCGAAACACAAATTTTGTACCTTTCCAAAAATATATTCATTTTTGTTGTGCGAATTGAACTTTTAACGTTACAGCTATTTGAAAATTGGACTTTTTACTACCGAATGTTAACACCTTTTGGTATCAAATTCATGCGTCTTTTCACTACCGAACGGTAAACGGTTTAAACGATTTTTTCCACTATTGAACGTTTACATGCTTTTCTTTCCGGTAAGAAATCCCATTGTGACTTTAAAATGCAACGTTTTATCGATGTATCAGGTTGGATGCGCACTGCTTCGGTACCGTTATAACGGTTCTAGTTATTATTGAAGTCCAACAAAAAAACTTTCTCAAAATCCCTGCCAATCAGTCTACATTTAATCCTAATGTATTGAACTGTGAGAAATCACATGAAAATACTTACAGGAGAGAAACCTCACAAGTGTGATGTTTGCAAAAAAGTGTTATGCACACTCCAGAAATTCAAATGTTTACATAAGAATCCATACAAGAGAGAAACCTTTCAAATGTGATGTTTGTAAAAAGTCTTTTACTTGACCATATAAGTAGAGCTTGTATGCTCATGGCTCACATAAGAATTCACACCTGGGAGAAACCTTTTAAATACATGTTTGTGAAAAGTGTTTTTCTCACTCGAATTATTTTAAATATCACATGAAATTTTATTCTGGGGATAAACCTTTAAAATGTGATGTTTGTCAAAACTGTCTTTCTCAGTCAAGTTACCTTAAAGGTAACTATCTTAAATATGACATGAGAATTATATCTAACAAATGATTTAAATCAGCTTATTATCTGAATGTTTACATTAAAAAATTTAACTGGACAGAAAACCTTACCAATGTTCACAAATAAATTTCAAAAGCCTTAGAATTTTCTAAAAATTGCAGTTAATAGTTAGAACAAATTTGGATAAAGAATCTTCCTGTCAAGTTTCAGGTCAATAGTTCACTGGAAAGAGGGGCAGGCGAAACTGTAACAGTGCCAAGATTTTGACTATATCTTTTTATATCATACTTACTGTTCAGGACAAATTCTTGAGTCTTTTTGACCATTCACATAAACAAACAATGTATGACCTCTTTGATCTATCTTGAAATAAAAAAAAAAACAAAAAAAACAAAAACGTGACTGGCTTTTAAAATCATTCACAGACGTCAGTGACTTCCAATTGGGTTTCGATTGTTTAACATTACAGTGGT